TTTATTATAAGTTTCAAAATACCTTTGCTGTTGATTTTAACAAATTTATCTATTTTCAACTCTATATTATTCAAGCTAAACCTATTAATTATATAAGTGATATAATAATTGTCACATAAAAATAAGCTTCTAATCTACAATAATAAGAACTTGAAATCTTAAATAATTCGTAAATTGCAAGCGATTATTATAAATTCGAATTAATTATTTAAATTTTAAGTAATAATTCCAGTTTCATTCATTGATAAATATTTTCACTTTGGTAGAAGATGTTAATACATTTTAATTACTTTTTCTTTAACTATTGTACGAATTTTCCACGTTGATATAAGAACTTTCAGAATAATTTAACCTTTTTTCTTTTTCCTCGTCTTTTCGATTGTCAATATTGTGAAATTGAATGTCGAATACCTCGTTAAATGTTTTCCGAAAATAAGTTATCGTTGCAGAAATAGTAAACACATTTTTATTCTTCGATATTGCGATTCAAGTTGCAATTAATTGACTAATTAATGTTGTCATGATGCGCTTTGTAAACTTCGTTATGTTATCTCACGTAACGTTTCGAACGTGGAACAAAATACTGAATCATATATTTAATACATTATCTCGATATCTTCTGTCATGTTCTCGAGATGATAAACAGTATTTCCAACATGTTGTATTAATTATGATGCAATGAGTATTCAAAATAAATGTTTTCTCTGTGGATAAAATAAAGCAACGAAACAAATAGTCATTTTTGCATTTACTAGCATAACATGTTATTATTTTTGAAATAAATATGTAAACAATACTCCACGATTAGTATATTATGCTTGTTGAGTACGCTGAAAATATGCAAATGTCAAAGTAAAATTTGAAAATATATTATATGAAAAGTTGTACGAGGAATTACATTAAGAAATAATATTAAATTAGTATATACTATTAACAAAGCAAATATTCGTAATATTTATAAAGAATTTTCCGAATTCGTTGACAAAACATTCCTATAGCATAATGAAGATAAAAATAATTTCATAATTTAATAATGTAATAATTCAAAATACTATTAATACTTAATTAATTAATACTGAATAATTTAGAATATTTCAAATTAATTAGTCAATTGATATCTTAAATTTGATAATTTAATAATTCAATAATTCAATAATTTTGGCTCAATAATTTTAATGAAATATTCTTGATTGATGAATCAATTAACATCTTAAATTTAATTATTTAATAATCTAAAATATAATTTAATCGATAACTTAAAATATTCCAATGTAATTGATACCTTAAAATATAATTTAATAATTTAATAATCGAAAATATAGGTGAATAATGTAAAATTAATTTTATAATACAAACATTTAAGCTAACAAATATTCTGTAATATATTTATTTAAAACTAAACTAAAGTTTAAATTAAAGTTTAAACCTTGCACGACCATGTATACCAAAAATATCTTGGTTTCAAAACAAATTTTGCGAGACACAGGACAACTTTCCCTCAAAAGGACAACAAAGACACTAAATTAAAATTAAACTTCGAAAAATCGAAAACTGCAATAAAACAATGATCAGTAAATCTTTAGCAGAACGTAAATTAAAATGCAAACCATAATCGAGCAATCTTCTTCGCAGAAGAAAGTCACAATACCCGATTCAAGTTTCAAAAATTACCCTCCTGTATCAAAATGAAAAAAGTTACTGAATTGCAAAACGAATGCTTACTCGTCATTCGCGCGTATCTCATATTCAGTTGTGTCAGTGACATTGTATCAGACCAGTCTATGATTACGTGTTCTCGCTCTGAAGAGATTACACATGACCACGTTTTTCCCTTTTTTCTTTTTCTTTTTCTTTGAAGGAATCATTGCGTGCGTGTAGAATGAGATTGCACGCATGTTGTTTTCCTAAAAAGAAGAAATGTCGCGGGCAAAAGGAATTCTCTCATTGAAGTTACATATACGTATACATTGAATCATAATGTAAACGTAGAGTACAAAAGGTAGGAAAAATCTACGTTGCATTGTGTAGACGTGTATCGTTATTTCCATACGATCTAAGCAGGAAAAGTTTCTATTAGAAGAATAATTTACAAGGAAGAGCTGAATTTTGTTGCGAATAAAATATCTACGAAAAATTTAAGCGAGTATAGATTCTGTTAATTCGATGCTTCCTTCTATATATGTGAGCAATTGTTCGTTTAATTATTATAAAATTAATATAATTTTTACAATTGCAATTTTTATCTAGTAACATACATAAACAAGAATTCTGATTTAACTGGTACGTGAAATATATTAGACAAATTTTTCGATAATTTTATATTTTCTTTTGTAAATAAAATTTATTTGCTTCTTATTAATGGTAATACAAATTTTATATCAATTTTTTGGATGAATTATGTAAATACAAATTTTATTTAAATATGAATATGTATATTTATTTCATATTGTAATAAATTTTATTGCAGAAATGTAAGGAGCAAGATGTTAAGACGAGACATATAATTTTAATATTGCGTTAATTTTTATTATCAACAGCGAGAGTGATAGGAAAAGGAAGAATAAAAATTGAATTATATAATATTCTAAAATTATAACACTTTTTCTCACTTTGAAACGAATTATATCAAACAAAGAGAACGCAGGTAGGAATTACAAGAGGCAAGAATTGTTTTAAAATTGTAACGTATGTTATAAATCGTAGGTAAATCCCAAAAGATAGTGTAATTTGTTTCAAATACTTCTATTCTAGGATTTTGTCAAAAAAGTAAAAGATATTAAAGAATAATTATCTCGAATATTAAGTAAAATTGTGAAGGTTGATGGAAAATTATATATAAATAACAATATTTATAAAATACAAGCATAGGTTAAACAAATGATTTAATTTGAAAATAAAAAAGTACTAAAAGCTTAAACAATCATTATGAAATATTTATTTATTCGTCGACGACTAATCAAAGCCAATATTAGCGGCTTTAAAAACCAAAAAAGGAAAACAAATTTACTTTACAATACGTTTCAGACTAAAAATCAATCACATTTAACAATTTCTTAATTAATCTTGCATCAAATAGAATTCATTAAATAATAAATAAACCTCTTTTCAGAAAAAGATCCATAATTACACGTATTTTATAAAATTACACGTTTTTAAATTTTATAAATTCCTAAATATTTTATAAATTTTATAAATTTATAAACATTTTACAAATTACAAATTGTGTGACATGGCACAGTAATGACAGTTAAAATTTACTTATCGATATTTAATCTTACACTATCTAATGCTAAACATTTCAAGGATTATCTGATACTACAATCAATAATCTAATTAATTTATAAGAATAGGTTTCTCACCTTAAGCAATACAACCAACCTGAAAGAATCACTGAAATATAAAAATGAATTATAAAATACGTTAAATCCATTCGTGTTTGTCTTGCATCAAAGCTTTATTGAAACCAGCTTACCGAGAATAACCAGCAAAGATACATGGTCATTTTTCACTGATCGATTCTTACAAATTTTCTTTCTTTTTTCCTCCCTCGTCTTCGCCGTTTACTTTCCTTAATTACGCTCAAATCTCCCGTTTCGTTGGAATACACATCGGCAGAATTGACAATGAAAAATTTCTTATCGTTACATTATTTTATCCCACAATTCCCTATACTCTCTTTAACAACTTGCACAATTAATGTATATACATCCTGTAACATTGCCATATGAATGCTTACTGCAACCCCACTCGAGTAGTTCTCAATAATGGAGGGAGATCCTACGACATATAAAAGTCTGACTGATACGCGACATCTGCTCAGTAGAAATTTTGTTCTTTCGAAGGAAACGCACAAAAGCTTATTTACTGCAGCTTGATAATAATTCAAGCTGGCCTGGAAGCTCAAAGTTCAATATACAATTATCCGGTTGCACATTCGAAAGTTTTCCATCCGAGCAAATCGTATATTAACGATTTTTTGAAGAAGACGCTGTATTAACGAGGTGACGAATGCATTCCACACACTCGATTAAGATAATGGTTCCGCATGGGAGGTTATGAATTCACATGAGTGCATTATCGGTGTGAAAAATCGTGTGATTGTAAGATTCGCGAATATTTCATTATAGCGTCGCTCAACGAGTACTTGGTTAAGGAGTTTACGATAAACGATTATTCTTCTGATAACACTGCAAACGTATATAGGGGCAAAGAAACGAAACAAAGGATAAAAATAGAAGAATGTAGTATATAAACGTATACTCGAAACTCCAATGCTATACTTGTTTTGTATATACACAAAGGAGTAAATTCTCTTTTACGTTCGAATACTGAAAAAGATGATTATATTTCGTGTTTTTAATTTTATTATATGTATATCAGTGTGTGATTAGTAAGCAAAAAAGTTTTTCGCTGATATTATTTTAAAAATCGGTTTAATTATCGAATTGATTGTTAAATGTGGTAATCGGGTAAAATTCTTTTGATACTTCGACGTGATACTTTGTTTACAGGAATATTAATCACGTGGAAGAGACATCGAAGTGCGAGAGGTAAAAACAAAGTAAAATCCACGCGAATCTAATCGAATTCCGCGCCGACCGTCATCTCCCGGGTGATTGAACATCACGTGACTCGAGATTAGCCGAACGAAGCGACGAAGGTACCGAGGTTATAAATAGCGGTTACCAGGGAGTGGGGAGTCTCTTTTACTTTCTACACTGTACCATAGTGCATTTGCTCCGCGTTCGTCTGACTATCACATTCTATACTGTGGTGGTGTGGAGTTCGCTCGTGCGAAACCAAAGTAGGGTATAGAGATCGGACTACACTTCCTCGCTTTCTTTAACTATTAGCGACGTCAGACGGACGGAACGTGTCAACGAAGTCACAACACGTGGCCAAAGTATTTGAGCACAAACAAAGAAACCAAAGCCTCTACCCACGATCACGAAAAGAAGAAAAATGCCGGAGACCGCTCACCACATGAACGGATACGCTAACGGGCACACGCCGCCCGAGCTACAACAAGACACCAGTTTTCTTTTCACTTCAGAGTCGGTTGGCGAAGGCCATCCAGGTAGGTACCTTAAGAACCATGCGTTTGCCTCATGACTCTTCTGTATTTCGAACGATATCGTGTGACTTTGGCTTTAATCCTATGTCGGTGAGCCGCCTGTGCCGCCATGAAACTCGATGAACGAACCACAGATATACATATACCGTGTGCGCACGCCGCGATTCTACCCTTCCTTCGCGCTTTCTTACTTTCCTTAAAAGATTCGAAATGCGAGGATGGTGTTACGTTGCGACTTATTCATTACTCAGATTCTCTTCTTAATGTCTATTAAATATCGATTATCGATGCGTTTAAGTACGAGATCGAAAGCATATTTTTCCAAATCGGTATGAAAGCAGAAACGAGCATCTCCGGCGTCGCCATGTGCTTCTTAATATTACGATTTACGATCTCTAATTTCTCGTGCATTTCCCGTATTTATGTTTTTAATTTTCTTTTTCGTCGAACTATCTGCCAATCAACCTTTAAAATTCAATTATGATGTGTATGTATCATACGACTCGGTTTTTTATGTAATCTGGTGATCGTTTCACACGTGCAAACGCCAAACTTATTAGTTGATATCTTTTTTATCTTTCCTTTCTTTTTCTTTTTTTGTCATGAACTCCTTAGAATTGTCACAACCTCTACAACTAAAAGTAGCTACTATTTCATATAAATTAAAGTAAAAATCAGAATTATTAACGAATAAAATGACTAAATATTGCTTGCATTTGGTTTATTCTAGAAACAAATTCATAACAATGATCTTGATTGTGTATCTTGACAGAATTTTGTAAACGTGTACAGATCAAATTTATTTCAATTAGCAATATAGCACGTATTTGATTTTATGATTATGCAATTGTTGTTACGAATGTATATTTATCCTGAAATTCATATGTTTATGCAAATTACATATGTAAGTAATTCGAAGAAATACAGTCAACTATTTGCACATTAAAAAATTTCTAGTCAATCTATAGTTACAACCTGTACAAGTTTCCTTTTTTCTTTTTTTAGATAAAATGTGTGATCAAATAAGTGATGCTATTTTAGATGCACATTTAAAACAGGATCCTGATGCAAAAGTGGCTTGTGGTGAGTTTTCCTTATATCATTTTAATTTCTTTAAGTGACTTGAGTCAGTTGGTATTATAACCTCTATTTATAAGTTAGTCTATGTGACCTTGAGTTAATTTTGAACCATAGAACTGTGAAGGGATCTAGTACTTGATACAGTGCCTATAGTTTGAACTATTACTTAATATAAACATTAATTTGTATTTTTGATTTTTATATATTGTTCTTTTTAATTATACAGAGACTGTGACAAAAACAGGAATGATTTTGTTATGTGGAGAAATTACATCAAAAGCTGTGGTAGATTATCAAAAAATAGTTCGGGATACAGTTAAGCATATTGGATATGATGATTCTTCAAAAGGTAAAAATATTTCTATTTGTTTTTCATGTTTCCTCTTTTCAGTGATGTATGTTTGTTACACCCTTTGATACCCCCGAAATTTTGTTAAATTTATTTTTTATTTGTACGTCTAAAACATTTGAAATTTTCCTTGCTAACATAAGAGATTTCCATCTTCTATACATATGCCCTGTGGCCGGATGATGTCTTTATTATCTTTCCCTCATAAAATTCGCCTCATTTGGTTCTCCAGAATCAGACTTTATAATACACGGTCGAATCATGGCACGAAAGCTTCCAGCACTAAATACAAATTTTATGAAACTTACTGTATTTACTTATTAAATTATAAAAAAGTGTATTTATCTGATAAACAAATATGTATTTTTCTAATAAGAGGATGTGCTTTACGCTACATACACGTTAGTAATAAAATGTTGGAGAAAATTCCATGACTCGATCGATTGGATGACCAATATCCTGCTCATTATCTTTCGGAAAAAAAATAAGTAAAAGAAACACGTATGAATATGTAACGTAAGCATATCATGATCGTGGCAGGATTCGATTGGCGTACGTTGAACCTTTTGGTGGCGATCGAACAACAATCTCCAAATATCGCTGATGGTGTTCATGTGGACAGGGAAGAGAAGGACGTGGGTGCAGGTGATCAGGTACATAACCCATTCTCAGCCCGTGCCGCAGAGCAGCCATATAATTCAATAACATTCTCTTTTTTTGCTTTACCCTCTCCCTTCTTTTTTATAATATATTTTATAGAGTTTTTATAACATACACTTTCCTTGTGTTATGTGTGATTGTGTGAATCTGTGTATGCAAACAAATATTACAGTTATATAAATACAGACTACATGTTTTATAATATAAGAATTTATTCTATCAGGAAGTTTTATATATGAATACATTTCACTTGTCATGGAAATTCTTAAATTAGAAAAATTCATTACTAAATAAGCATCATGTTAATAATTATCACAACAAAATATGCCAACCCATGTAATAACACACTATTTCATACATTTTACATGTTAGGTTTTGATATTACATAATATATTAATTAAAGGAAAATATTTTCATTGTATCACTTTACATGATTAGGTCATAATTACTTTATTTTTAACTTTTTTTTTTTTTGACAAGGAGGTACTACCAATATTCTCTGAGACAGCACAGTAAACTGGGATACGAAACAGTGAAACATCAGTGTAATGAGTGTTAAGATTCATGGTAGTGAACATTTATATCTTATTCATATAATTTCTGCAGGTTTTGACTTCAAGCTCTGCAGTGTTTTGTTGGCGCTTGATGCTCAGTCGCCAAATATTGCAGCAGGAGTTCATGAAAACCGTAGTGATGAAGAGGTCGGCGCAGGAGATCAGGTCAATTAGCATTGATCGTTCATTCGAATTTTCTGTTCTTCTTTTCTGTTTTTATCTCTAATGCTAGCATAGTTGCTCCTTCTTAGCTTCCTAAATAACATATGTATATTTATTTCTTCTTACTTTCAATTGTTTAATATCTTAAGAAGAATGTTTTCCTATTAGTATTATTTTTATTATTATTCAGGTATATATAGTTAGTTACAGTAATAGTATGGTGTAGCTTAATTTTTCTCTCCTATCTTTTTCTATGTTTGTAGGCTGTGTTACATGAAACTTTAGTTTTTCATTAATGTAAATAGTATGGTTATGGTAAAAGCATGTATAAATCATTAGAACTTACTCCATGTTCGATTTCTATTTTTTTTTTTCTTAACTTTCTTTTTATTTTTTTATTTTTTTGTTTGCTTCCATTGTCTTTTAGTGCAGTTTGTTGCCTTATTGATTGTGCTAAAAGCAAAGAAATATTGTCAGTTAACATCTCTAAAATTCTATATGTAAATAATTAATTTTGCAAATTATCCCTTCATTACAAATATTTGTCATTGGCACTGTATTGTATAAGTTCATATTGTATTCTTAAGGTTATGTTGTGATTAAAGTGTGTACTGTGAACATTCATATGATAGAAACTATTAATTTGTAAATTACCGAGTTTAGTTGCCCCAACATTGTTGATTAGTAATCCTGCTCTGTGTGACACCTTTCTTTGAATATTAATAAAGAAATCTTGTGGTATATTATAAATTACGCTTACTGCAAATTTCAAGTATAAATTAACACATAGTTTGATACTGTATGTTGTGTGCATTTTATTACTTTATTAATGCTTAATTTCCTATATCACAAACTTACATAATATTGCAATTAATTAAATATGTAAAAAGTTTGTTTTCCTGCTTCAAGTTTTTATCTCAAACATTTCAGCTGAAGTAACTCAAATTCTTTTCTCAGGGTCTAATGTTTGGATATGCAACAGATGAAACTGATGAATGTATGCCATTAACTGTTGTGCTGGCACACAAGTTAAACCAGAAAATTGCAGAGTTAAGGCGAAGTGGTGAATTGTGGTGGGCAAGGCCAGATTCAAAAACACAGGTATAACGTTGATTAGCTAATTGTAAGCTTTTTTAAATTTATTAGAAATTAAGCACACTTATAATAAATTTGCATTTATATTAGTCTACTTATTCAATGATGTTTTATAGAAGTATTTGCTACTCTTGAATGCCATGATGTAAAAAACATTACTGAGAATAATATGTTATAAATGACATATATTTGTATTCGCAAATATCACTTTTTTTGATACTGTTAAAATTATAAAATAGGTCACTTGCGAATATGTAATGGATCATGGTGCCTGTGTACCTATAAGAGTTCACACAGTAGTGGTGTCATTACAACACAGTGAGAAGATTGGTTTGGAAGAACTACGTAAAGCAGTTATGGAAAAGGTTATCAAAGAAGTAATTCCAGCAAGGTATCTAGATGATAGAACAATCTTCCATGTTAATCCTTGTGGATTGTTTATTATTGGTGGTCCACAGGTACAATACATTTTTATGTGAAGTTTAAATACTATATTTGAATATATTTAAGGATACATTTAACAATACATTTATCATATTTAATAAGATATGTCTGTTTATTTATCTGCTTTCAGAGTGATGCTGGTCTTACTGGTCGCAAAATAATAGTTGACACATATGGTGGCTGGGGAGCCCATGGTGGTGGTGCATTTTCTGGTAAAGACTTTACAAAAGTTGATAGATCTGCTGCTTATGCAGCAAGATGGGTTGCTAAATCTTTAGTGAAAGCTGGTCTTTGCAGACGATGCCTTGTACAGGTACAAATTATTTCTACTTAATTATTATTAACAAAAAAAATTCTTCCCTCTCATATATTTTTTGTGTTGGTATAGACATAGATATTTACAATAAATTTTTAGGTTTCTTATGCTATTGGAGTAGCAGAACCTCTTTCAATCACAGTTTTTGACTACGGTACCTCCAAATTATCTCAAAATGAACTTTTAGATATAGTTAATAAAAATTTCGATTTACGACCTGGGAAAATCGTTAAGTAAGTATAATATTTGTATTTTAGACATAAATAGTAAGATATGTATGTATTCTATACTTCGTTAATAAGTTAAACTTCATTAGAAATTAAAACTTGAAATATATAATCGTTTTTTAGAGAATTGAATCTTCGTAACCCCATTTATCAACAAACTAGTACGTATGGACACTTTGGCCGAGAAGGATTTACTTGGGAACAACCAAAAACTCTAATTCTCGATTGATGAGAACGTAAATTCTAAATCAGTTTGACGTTTCCTATTGCAAAACGTCTATCAAGTCGTTCTCAATACTCGTATATCTCGTAAACATTTTCCGAGATTTTCCGACCTCCGCGCTACTTCGCCAAGTCCATCAATTCCTTTTGCCAATTTAGTACTAGCAGGAAGAATGACATTAGATTTTTCCACATCATAAGGTACTTGGTATTATGTGATATAGTACAAATTTTATTGATCCAGCATGCAGGCAAGAGCAGTCATTTTTCCTTCACTATTTAAAAACTGAATTGAAATTTATCAGTCATTAGGTATAATCGAAACTATCGACAAAGGGAAATGTGAACTAAGCCTGTTATGAGTTTGTTACCTACGCGTGTATTCATAACAGTCACGTAAGGTAGTTTATTTACCAGTGATGCAACTCATTACTATGGCTTGTAAGTAGTGTGTGTTGGAAGTACAAAAAAGTCAAAGGAACAATAATATCTAGGAAGAAAAATGTTCTATATTTGAAAAATGTATAAATTGGCAACATCGGGCCGTGCCTCTAAACAAACATTTGAGATGAAAATATTCTCAAATTTTTAGCAGTGTTTTAGTACTTCGTATGAACGTACATGAAAGTTTAATCAACTTGCTTTTAAAGTACTAATGTAATATATTGATAGCTTGTATTTGCCCATCCTAGCAATTCAGTCAAAGATAATGATGGTGCTTTCATGTACGTTTTTCGTTAGAATTATTTATCATTCGAGTGCAAATGTAAACTGGTAACGACTATGTACATTAATTTTTAGCAAAGTGGGAAAACCAATCGATTAAAGTGACCAATCATATTGAAAATGATAAATGAAATTAAAATATGACCGAATGAAATAAAATGACCAAACGAATTTACTTTTCATATTGTTTAAAACTTTGATGACATGATACAGTATGATATTGACGAGGGGTTAATAATATCGCATTTATTTAAATCTATTTGTTAATTGAAATGTATTACAAAATTGCTTAATTATATTTGAATTTAAGTAACGGCGATACTGCTAACTCTCATATATTTATATATACATATATACATTTTCCCTCTTTGCTTTGTTTGAATAGGTAATTGTAATAGACAGTCGATTTTACAGTGTATAGCAAATAATACATTATCGAATATTAGACCTTATTTTAAGGAGGTCTAATGCAGATCGTGTGGCGGAGCTCGAAAATTATATGATTTTTCCAATTTGTAGTGTGAAGATCTGTGACACTATTGTATTTTAAACATCAACAAAAATGTAAATGAAATTTAGTAAATTCGTTCCGTTAGGTGATGTAACGATCTATCGTGTAATGGTATTGGCAGTGTAAAGATGCACAAGATCATCATATGCAAATCGTAATAAAAAAATTTGTTAATAAAATATTAAATTGTCATTTATTTTATTCATTTTTTGTTCCAAACTATTTATAAACTAATAATTCCTTTTGCAGTTCCTATGACATTTTATAATTTGTCAAGTACACATAAGTTTATATTTAATAAAAAAAATTTTAATTAGAGCTCTGTCGCACAGCAAATTGCGACTACTTGTAAAGAAAAATCAATAATTAATTTTTGCATTTTCATAAGTATTTGTTTTTTTCGATGATAACGCAAAAGATACAAATATGAAACTTCCATTCTTTACATACAGCTTACACGTTAGTGTGTATTTTCTAATATTTAAATAATTACATATGATTCTACAATATTTAGAAAATTAAGGATATAACAGTATATCGTGGTATAACAAGATTTATTACAGATATAGTAAATTTTAAATAATATATTATTTATTTTTACCACATGTGGTAATTATATGGAGTTATTTGAAAATTGTATAAAAATACAGCTTAGATAAATCTTTATTAACATATAAATTATTAGATACTAACGTTTCAATACACTGCCTAAAAAGCAGAAAAATTCCAACAGAACTTTTAATATAACAAACAAATTAGCAAATATTACTGTACAAATTCCTGTATCTACTTTTAATAATCACGTATATGGAATATAAAATATATTAATAAAATAAATTTCATAATTTCCTAAATTTAATCCCTCTTAGTTAATTTTGATATATACACATTATACATACGAAATAAGTTATTTTAGTAGGATTTATAGATAAATAATTTTGCATAAAGGGCTACTAAAATATAGTAATTGGGAATTAATAATTTATGTTTTTGTAATAATTTTTAGTATCGTAAAAATTGTGTTCTGAATGCTTAATGTATTACATGCTAACATTCTATGGCAAATAAATTATAATATATCATAAAGATAATGTAATACAATATTTATGTTTCTACCCATAAAAAAAAATAAAGCATTAAATTTGTTATGTTGGAATACATTCCATATTTTTTTAGGCACTTTTCAAACCTATATACCTTTAATTAAGCATGTAAGGTAAAATCATGAAATTGTATATATTTACTATATAGTAAATATTGCATGTACTTGTCAACAAGTTAGTACATGTATTAATTTCACTTACATGAATTTATATATATATATAAAATTGCTAATTTCATGCTTTTACTGTAATATAATATTATGTATAATTTGTAGTTACAAATTTAATTGGGAATAATCAAAACAATGTAAAAAGACATATAAGATATTTAATTATATTCTTATGATTAAAGTTATATACATAGAAGTACACAGAATTGTATACAATACAAAATGTCATGAAAATATGTATAAGGAACAAATTTTTTTATAAAAAATATTCTGCTAATACACTGTCACTGATCCATAATTTTAATAAAATATAAATTATTGAAATATCATATAACAATATATAGTGAAAAAAATATACCAAATTGGAGATGCTTGAATAAGTCTTATTGCACATTTTATAAAATAAAATTATACTGCAAAACTTTTGTATGCAATTTTAAGCACTTAAGAATAATATGAAAACGGTACTATTAATGAAATTTATAACACACTGAAAGTGAAACCAAATATATGTAACATAAATATATAGAAATATACTTGGAATTATTGAACGAATTAGTGCATAATCATCATTAGTTAAGACATATTTTATAAATTATACTAAGAGATAAAAAACTATTATTATACACGTTTAAAAAAATTTCTGCAGAAATGTGTTGTGTAATCTTAATTTAATGTTGACTGATATTGTAATCAAGATGATTTTCAATTATTAGAATAAATTCAATTTGTTAGTATCTTTTTAGGCGCGTGAATACGACTGTGCCTTAATAACGAACTTTTGTCAGTGAAAGATTTTTCACATTCCACACATTTATACGTTCTACCAGTATGTGTAACTAAATGTCTACTGAGTCCAGATGCATGACAAAAAGCTTTAGGACAAAGTTGACAATGGTGTAACTGAATGTCATTTGGATCTAATTTCTGATGCCTCCTCATATGAACCTTTAACGCTTCTCGTTGAGTAAAACTCTTATCACAATGTTGACATTGGAATGGTTTTTGACCAGAATGAGTCATGAGATGACGAAGTAAAATTTCTTTCTGTGCAAAAGCTCGATGACAAATATTACAACCAAATGGTTTTTCACCTACATAAAATAATGAAAAATGTTATAAAATATAAACTGAATGTTCATTTATAATTAATTTTTTAAAATATATAGAATAGTATTATTACCTGTATGAGTACGTTCATGTCTTACTAAAGCTGACCTAGTGGGGAACCATTTTTCACAAGCTTGACATGTGAAACCCCTTTGTGTAGAATGTACAGATTGATGACTTTTTAACATTATCCTTCGAGTAAATGCTTTTGGGCATTTGTCACATTGAAATACCTTTAACTCTTCGCTGGTTTCAACTGTAAAAGAAACATATGTTAAATATTTGTACAAACTGCAAAACATGTATAAAGGTGATGCATGTTATTTACCCATAGTATCACCAATTGGTTGTAACTTTAAGGATTCCCCTTGACCTGAACTATTACTTGTGACTTCCATCATATAAACATTTTTGTGGTCAGCATTTGCAATTGCTCTTTGTACTTCTTCTGCTTCATCTTCAGATTCTTGTTCTTGTTTAATACGCGTTGTACGTATCGTGCAACGTGCTTTGGCAGTACGTTCTTCTGCAGGTACTAGTGTAATATTTTCTGGATCTTCTGACATTGTTTCTTCCATCTCTAAATTCTCAGAATTCATTCCTACATTTAATAGAATAAAATAATTTGGTATACTTTACAATAAAATAGAAGCAAATATTTCTTAAAGTTATAAAAAACAAAGAAAGTACCTAAAATGTAACCACCAACTAGTTCTTCTTCTGTCACTTCAATTGGATCTCCATCTGTTTGTCCACTATCACCTTTGGTCGATACTAAATCAGCTAATAGTTGTTTAACTTGTTTAGATTTTCCACTGTTGGAAGAATCTTTCAATTCTTCCCTGTTACTATCTTGACTTTCTCCTTCGTCACTTTGACCAGTTAACTGTTGTATTAATTTCATATGCTTACGAAGTTTAGCATCAGCAGCTTCACATTTTTTTTTAAATTGATAAGATTTTTCTAACTGATATTTGCATGGATGACAAATCATATTTGGAAGACCATCTTCTTCATAAACCTATAATATAAAAAACATTAATCATTATTTATATGCTGCTACATCAAATTATAAAATCAAATTTAATATTTGTATTACTCATTGTTTTATAATGTAATATTATTCCGTAATATCCATATCTTTTTAAATGTTTATATTTCACAATCCTTTGGCAATACATAAATAAATTTGTAAATGTCTTCATATTATTATAATCGTATTTGTATATCATCTAATTTTGTGAATTGTATTATTTTTTAACCTAATAAAGAAGTGTAGCATATAAAACAATTTAGAATAAAATAGTGGATATATAAACATTCGTTTACAATCAATACGAAAGAAATGTTTAAGACGTATAAGAAATATACTAAAAAGGAATACTGAATGTTTTGATTCTTTTAAATCTATTACGATGATATGGAAAATAAGGCAACAGGCAGAAAGTTCATTGGTCAGATATAAAGTACCAACATTAACGCATTGGCTATAATATTGCAGATTTCTATAAATTCGTAGGGTAAACGATCTGTAATGCAATGATACGCCTTGTCTAGATTCCTGTAATGAAAGAGAAGGTGGCGTCGACGTATCGTGAACGTAAAGTCGATAACTCGGTAAAGCCGGTAGTTGCTTTGCGCAGTGTGTCGCGCGTTGCATGAGAGCTGAAGTTAAATGTTCCCTGCATACTCACGTACGAATGTGTGGGTGACGTTCACAAATGCGAAGCAAAATCGAAGAGTGGGATAAAATAGAGGGAGAGAGAGAGAGAGAAAGAGACAGAGAGAATCTCACGCAGAGAGATAAACTAGATTCCTATTTTTCGATAAGCTTTCAATATACGTATGAGAAACAAGTAACTGACGCTCCATCAACTTAAGTCTGTTATGTACTCATTCTGTTGAGCCTTCTAACTCACCTCCAAGTTAACGCAAGCCATTATTCGCAAAGATAAGGGTATAGTTTCATCGTCGTAAATCGGCACCATCTCCTCCTCCTTTGCCAAGCACAGTCGGCACAGCTCGTTCACATGAATGATTACGTTACTCGGGCTATCGCCCTTTTTTCTACTGTATGTTTTCATTTTGACGTTCTTTAAACTCTCCTACACGTTTAACGCGTAGAAATTTCACCTTTGACGTTGAAGGGAAACAGAATTTTCCCTGGAAAGCTCTGGAGAATGAGACTCAGTCACACACAACGGAATCTATAATGGCGGCGGCGGCGGTGGCGGCGGCAGCGACGGTTGACCAATGGCGGACGTGCGGCGCTGCAGTTCAGCAAAGATGGAGAATGTAATCGTAGACTTTCTACGCGTGCGAAAGAGAAAGATGGTTAGGTACGAAAGAGAAGCTATATCGTTTAGGGTCTTCGTCATCGCAAAGTCGGTAAGGCCGGTAACTATTATTGATTTTCCATTCTTCCCAACGGCGGGAAACGATCTTCCATTCGCTATTATTGCGGCATGTTCGAATTTTCTTGTATCTATTTCTACAAAATGTTACATTATATTACTTTCCTTGGATGGAAATAATGATCATTATAATATGTGACTATCGGTAGTAACGATGAAGATAGCAGTAAATGTACGAATATTTGTTTTTTCTCAATACTGACTAAAGAAATAACGATTCATAACGGACGTTATTTGAACAACGACTTTCATGAGGTATCGACCGTTCAGAAATATGTGTAACAATAGTTTGATATTTTTTTCATCGTTATTACAAATAAAGTAATAAAATACTTTTAATAGAGAAAATTATTAAAGTTCAACATATTAATCCTAGTAGAATTTCTGTTATCATTGTTACTTATGTGTATAGTAGTGTTGTATTAACATTTTGGTTATCCGACTCTCTTGGTAAGAAACTAGGTATTATATATACGCAACACTTTAACATCATACATTACATATATTTAACAATTCTTTCGTTTGCAAAATTATTCAAATATACAAAGTGTACTGAACTTAAGTAATATATAATTAGTTTTACTCATAAAGCAATTTATTTATGATTTATTTGATAAAATACAGATTGATTCTTTTTGTACTTATCATACTGCTACACATGACTATATAGTAATAATGATGAATAGACAAATTTAAAACTGATCATGTTTATAAATTTTTTATTAGAAACTCTTGAAAAGAAAAAATTTTATGTTGTTATTTTACATGTTTAAAATTTTATATTCACATCATACATGATATTTTGTATCTCTAGATACAAATGATTAAAGAGCTTAAAAGTTTTAATGTAAATAACTTTATAATTTATATATAAAAGTTAATTTTATAGTAAATAAAAACATGCATAACAATTCTCTTTTGTTATTCTTTATTATTATATCATGTAATATGTTATCTATATTATTACTATAATCAATATTTTTAGTATTATAAAAGCAGGTTACATGTGAATCAAATTCAAAAGTTTTATAGATATGTGAAAAATCTCTTATCCGCTGTACTTTTTGAAGCGTGAAATTTCTTAAAAATACCAGCGAGGAAGTCTATAGATATCTAAGAATAACCTTCCGTTTTCTCTGTGATATAAATATGAAATTTCTATTGTAAGCCCACTTATGTATTTCATGCTGTATGTTTCAGGCGGAATATCAGTTCTTACGCGTCCATTCACTGAAAGTGATAGGGCAGCAATTCGATACTGAATAACATTAAATAATTAAGCATCGAGAAACATCGAACACGCGCATGACCCAGTATTTCGAAAGAAGATGGTCTCCCATCGCATCTGATTGCAACGGTAAACAACAAAGTCTGTTGGAGGGTGGTCAACAATTTAGAAAAAGGAGAATTTCAGGAAACGCAAAACAGTTTCCTACGTTTGCCAGGAGCGTTGTCGGATGTGGAGATTGGTGGAGAACGGGGGTCGAAAATAACTAACAAGTCAGAAGAGGAAAGGAGAGTGATTCGACGGCTCTTCCG